AAGTAGGAATGGTCACAAAGTTTGGATAGAAGCCCTGTAATTTAATCTTAGTAATTTCCACATTCCAACACTGTATATCTGATGGCCAGGCTCTGAGTTATCATCCTACTGTTCCTCATTTGTTCTGGTATGGTCCAAATGCAAATAACCATGGGCCCTTTCTACTCCTAACACCTTTTATGAAACCTTCCCTTTTTAAAGTGTGTAAAATCATTTAGCTCTTCCATATAGACCTGAAGACTTTTAACTCAAGCCATGCCTCAAGATCTCCAGTGTTCTAACCCTTCTCACTGTTTGGAGCTGCCTGCATGGCCGCTGTTAGACCCTTTCTCTGCCCTGTTCTTCATGGACCCTCATAACTCTGTCATTCCCTCTGCAATTTGCACCCCAGAAAGTTATCAGTGCAGTGTTCTAGGGAAACAGGCAAATTTAACCAATATGTGAAACAACGTTTACATAGCTACTATACACAGATTATAGTAAAAGGACCAAAACTTTGATCATTTTGAGGCTTAGAAATGGAGATCTAGAATAAGCTTTATTTTTCCAATCTTATCCAGCACATTTTATTGAAAGAGCATCCAAGTCATTGGCATGGAAATTGATTCACTATATAAAACAAGGAGATAGAGGGTTTCATCTATTTCAGTCGAATTTGTATGATGTTGGTTTTCTTTTTTATCTCATGTTGCCCCTTACATAGATAGGTTAAGTTAATAACATTTTGTATTCTGCTCTTTTTATTTGTGAGCCATTATAAAGATTTTTTAAAATTAGGGTCCTGGCTATAATATTAATGTAACTGATGTTTTTGCCCTTAGCTTCTTTGCAAGATGAGGCAGAATTTAAACTAGATTGTACTGCTGAACAAATGATTTTTTTTCTATTTGAATTCTGTATATATGTATACAGAATATGTATATTGTATATGTATACAATACAGAATATGTATTATGTATATAAGATTTTCCTTCTTTTTTAGTGTCTGAAGGAAAAAGAAGAGACTTTCTACTTCCATAAAGAGTTGCAATCTCAGAAACCCTAGGGGGGAGTTCTACATTGTCCTATAGGGTCGCTATGAGTCAGTGTAGACTGGATGGCAGTGTGTTTTGTGATTGAATGTGAATGCTCGTCAATAAATTGGGATCCTCTATGTTTCTTGGGACAGGTGAGGCTGCCAGCTATTACCTCAAAGCATCCAAGCAAAGTGGGAACTCCTGTCAGCTCCAAAGAGACTTCTGGAAATAGACTATCCTTTCCTCCAATGTAAGTGGACTAGCAACATGAAGACTGACTGACCTAACTTTGGGTTTGACCTGCGGTCTTCATACAGTTGAGTTACTATTGGCCCAATGACAGGCTGCTCAATCATATGTTTTGGCCAATGCTTTTTGTGACTTTGTCACAACCTCCCTTAGTCGTCTACTGTGCAAAAACCTTGAGGTCTGTGTCTGCATTTCCTAACTTCTGAATTCCATTATCAATCCCATCTCAGCCTCTCTTCCTATGCCCATCGAGGACATTTCTTCCCTTTTCCATACCGGGTATGCCATGCTGGTCTGTAGGCACAGATGGTACACTTCTCCAATAAACTTCTCATTTCTTCAGCAGCCTTAAATTGACCTGCTTGCAACCTGGCTGCAGGATCCTTCCCCTCATGAAAGTTGGCCTTAGTTGGCTGCCTTTTAAATTCTGGAGCATTTTTTACATCTGCGTGTTGCCTCATTCTGTTCTCGTCTATGCCACTGAGTGCTCCCTCTTTTCTGTTGCCTTGTTTCACATTTGTTTTAAAAATATTTAAGTTGCTCAGATATTTTGTTTAATCCCCTAGCAGGAGATTTAAAACATATGGGCTTCCATTTTTTTTGTTTTGTTTTTGTTTTTTCTAGAATCCTAGGTTTGCGTCTCAATAAATGTATTAATTATCTCACCCTTAAAGCAGTTTCTAAACAGTGGAGAAAAATAATCAGTTCTACTGGAGTGTGACAAATGCAATGAAAGCACCAAGTTCAGACTGACAGGGAGAAAAAGTAAATGGACGAAGGAACATTGAGAAAATTCTAATATAGAGCCACCAGATAATAGGATACCTGATCAGTTGACCTCCCTCTTCACCCATCCTAAATTTACTCTAGGTTTCAAATTTGTTCACTTGTTCTAAGACAGAAAATGTCCCTTTGCCTTAGTTTAACATTTCCAGTGGTCTTTTCTTTTTTCCTTTATTGTTTTCTGTTTTGTTTTTTGTTGTTTCTGTTATGTTTCTCAGTTTACGAAGCACAGAAAGATTATATGCAGAGAGAGAATAACTGCTGTAATAAATAGCCTATTGGGGATAAGAGAGGAGAAGGTTATGGGGAATTGGGGAGCAAATGATATGGGATGGGGAGGTATACTAGAACTGATTGTGATTATCTGTCTATCTATACCACTCTTTTTAAATGAGACTTGTATAGAAGCATATGATTATTATATCAATAAAAATCTTGGCCAAAAACTCCAGGGTAGGTAAGTCTATAAAGACAAAAACTAGATCAGTTGTTTGGGTTGCAACAGGAGAGGTAGAGGGACAGGAGATGTTGATAACAATAGATGCACCAATGGGAAAAATATCCTAAAACTGATGGTTATGGCAACGATTGCACATTTTTCTTGTATTTGAACCATTGATTTATATGCTATGTGAATTGTATGTTGTTAATAAAATGTTTTTTTTTAAAAACGAGAGAACATCTTAAGAAATAAGTCTAAAAAAAAAGAAGTCTGAGGTTCAGAAAACAAGTGATGCCTGTCACCTGTTTACCTTCAAATTTCATATGCTTCCACTGCGCCCAACTTCCCAGTCACTCCCTTCAGGGTGTGCCGTCCACTAAAATGAAGCTAATGGTGCAATGCTGAACGTGGACCTATGCTCAGAGAGAGGACAGAGCTATAGATAAGGGAGTGGAGGGCTGGCAGATAAACTTAATGTGAACATATATAAGGAAGAAATATGTTTACCAGCTTATTGAAATGATACACTCTAAATAGCCCATCAGTGTGAAAGAAAGGGGTGATGTCTTCTGAAAACAGTTTCCCTGTGAATCACTACATTTTTTTCTTTAGTTGGGTATTATAAAGAAAGGTTTTGGGGACTAGGCTAAGCATGTTCTCTCCTACGTGTAAGAGAGATGCTTTGTGTACTTCCTCACACTTCAAAATGAAAGAGGGATCTCCATTATGTATTTTGTTTTATTTTAATATTTTATTGCGGTTTGGGGGAAGTTTACATAGTGAATTAATTTCCCATTCAGCCATCTACACATTTTTTTTTTTTGTAATACTCTTCACTATCAGCCCTCCTCTCACTTTCTCCCTGGCTTGCTCATTCCCGTTTGCCCATCTCTCCTGCCTCTCCCTGCATTCTGAACTTTGGCTTGGGGGAAAATACTGTCCGTTTGGTCTCATGAAGGTGCTTGTTTGGAGGAATACTTTCCTCCTGGGTGTTATTTTACTGTTGGACTGAACGGGGATCTCCAGGTGTGGGTTCACTTCCAAGTTTGAAGAATATCTAAGGGCTGTAGTCTCTGGGGTCCCACCAGTAAAGATGGTCTCTTTTTACATTTTGAATTTTGTCCAATAATTTTCTCCCACTCTGTCAAGCAGATTCTATTATCTTTATCATAAATAAGGTGAGCACCATCTGGTTCTTCTAGTCTCATGCTAGTGGAAACTGAATTACCGACTAATTGTTTCTTTTAGCTTCTGATTTTCTTCACTGTTCTGTGCTCCAGCCAGAAAGAGACTTCTTAGATGGCCACTCACTAGATTTGAAGAGCCAGTTACTATTCATCAAAGTAGGATATACAGCATTGTCTTTATGGACTATATTGTGATACTTAACCTTGATTTCCCCAACACTGTGGCCTAAACCCTCAAGAATGTTTGGTTGTGGCTAAGAAATTATCAAAGTGTTTCAGTCTCCATGTTCTACAAACATATATTTGCAGCACAGATAAATAAACCAAATTCACTGCCATGGAGTTGATGCCAACTCACCAACCATATTGGATAGGGTAGTACTACCTTGTAAGTTTCTGAGACTTTACTAGAGTCGAAAGCCCTGTCTTTACTAGAGTAGACAGCCTGTCTCTTTACTAGAGTCGAAAGCCCCATCTTTCTCCTGTAGAGCAGCGCTTGGTATCAAACTGCTGGCCTTGCAATTAGCAGCCCACCATGTAAACACTACACCACCAGGGTTCCTGAGCCTGTATAAATACTTACATAGAGATGACCTCTACCATTCCTGTGTATGCTCAGGGTGTACTGCCAAGTGTCATCCCAAACCTATTCAGCTTACATATCTATCTGTACGCCCACTCAGAAATTATTGTGGATGTACAATGTTATCATTGCTATTGTAGGATTATGTCTGTAACCGTATTTACCGTTGTTACCGTTTACAGTTACATACTTCCCAGGGTTATCGTTTGCCTTGGTCATATAGTACTAGGCCCGCCTTTGTTGTATGTTGCCTTTCCAGTCACTCAAGTTTGTACATGTGTACCATGAAAGTAGTGAGATTTTTCTCCCTCCTGCTTCCATTTTTCGACAATACCAAAGGATGTTTCTTTCTGCTTGTAAACCTTTAGTAGTCTCATACAACATGACTGACCATTTGCACTCAGCGTAATATCCTCCAAGTTCAGCTATATGAGGAGGCGTTTCACACATTCTTCATTGTTCTGTAATATTGTATACGATTCCGTTGAGCTTATGAACCATAGTTTGTTTATCCATTCATTGGTTGATGGGCTTAGGTTGTTTTCTTCTTTTTGCTATTTTGAATAATATTGTGTTCACATGGGTGTACAAAGACCTCTTTGTGTCACAGCTCTTGTCTTATAAAATATATACCTAGCAGTGAGATTGTTGGATCATAGGTTAGCTAATTTCTAATTTTTAAGGAAGCCCCATGCCATTTTATAATTCCACAAACAGTGTCTGAGAATCCTAGCCTCCCCTCGCCAGCATTCTGTTTGTTGGCCATTGCTTTATTGCCAGAGTGAGATGGCTTCTCATTGTTTAGATGTGTATCTCTAACATCTGATGATTGCAAGCATCTTCAGCTATTTGTTGGCCAACTAAATATCTTCTGTGGTTAAATGATTGCTCATGATGTTTTCTTAATTTTTAATCGGACCATTTGAGCAGCATTGTTGTCATTTCTCTGAATGTTTGGTAGAATTCTCTAGAGAATCTGCTTGGGTCAGTACTTCATTTTGTTATTTGTTGTTTGTTTTTGTTTTTTTAATGATCTCTTCAAATTCTTCCTTAAGGGTTCTGTTTAATTTTTCTACCACCGTCTGTATTAGTTTAGGTAGGTTGTGTGTTTCAAAAGAGATATCCATTTCTTCATGGTTTTCAAATTTGTTAGAGAACAGTTCTTCATAATATTCTATTATTACCCTTTGTAACTCAGTTGGTTCTATTGTCATATTCATTTTGTGTTGTTGTATATGTTATTTACCTCTTCTCTACTTTTCCTTGTTGGGTTTTCTAGTGGTTTATTCATTTTATTAATCCTTTTAAAGAACCAACTTCTTGTCCTGTTGATTCTGTTGGTGCATTTATTTCTGGTCAAGTTTTAATTTTCTTTCTCTGTTCTGATAGCTGGGGCCGTAGGTGGCGTGTTTTCTGTGGGTTTCAGTAATAGGTTTAAGGTCTTCCTTCCATTTGGATTTGTGTGTTTCTTACCAAGTTGACCTCTGAGCACTCTTTGCTGTGTCTGAAAGGTTTGGGTATATTATGTTTTCATTTTTGTTTGCTTGTAGAAACTCCTTTATTCCCTCTGTAAGCCCAAAATATTAAAACAGGTTGCTATTTAGTTAGCACATACAAGGGAGAGTCACAAAGTATTCCTACAGAATAATAGAAAACTATATTTAACAAAAATATCAAAATTTGAAGGTGATATTTCTCAACAATTTGTCCACGTAGGTCTGTGTACTTGTGAAAGCAGTGTGTGATCTCTCACTTTCCCCTGAAGAAAGCACAGATGCAGTTTGAGCATCATTGAGGACTAAAATCTTGTTTCTTTTCAATGTGCTTTTGTGCTTGGGGAATAACTAAGTCTGAAGGTTTAAGATCATGGCCGTTGTGAGGATACGGTAGTGTTTCCCAATGAAATACTCATAGGACAGCCCTTGCTGCCCCACAAGCATGAGCAGATATATATTGTTGTGATGGGAAAAAATCCTTGGGGCAACCTCTCTAGACTTTGACTTAAAAAAATGCAGTTGCCCATTTTCTTAAAAACTCCCTCCCAAGGAGCCTCCATGACCACCAGTGTCCTTTTAGAAAGACCATGAAGATTACCCCTGGGGACCCCCCCAAACCACTCTCCGTAGCCTCCCCTCCACTTGGAACTTAACTGGCCCCGTAGGTCCTCTTGGAGCCACGCTCTTTGGAGGCATTTTAATGAGATGAAGACAAGTGTATTGTGGAGAGAGCTTGACTGCAACCGTCCGCTGATCGTTCAGACCGTTCAGGCTGTTTGGTTTGGAATAAATCTGCGTGGGTCTGAGCTCGCACAATGCTTTTTAAACTTAACCTCACATTTGACTCTTTTCCTTTTTCTTTATATATTTATGGCATTATGATTGTTATGGTGTGTTTTTAATTTAGTGAGGCTTGTATAGTGATCCATGTGCACTGGAAGAGGATATGTGCTATGCTGTGTAGGGATAAAATCTTCCATATATATCCATGACAGGAAGTGAGTGGATCATGTTGTTCAGAGCTTCTGTATCTTTGTTGAATTTTGTTATAATCCTGCCCTTCATCAACAGTGATGTGTTAAAGTCTCCTATTGTTTTTATTTCCAATTATGTTAATTTGTTTAATATGTTTTAGAGATCTCTGTGGAGTGCATAGATATTGATTATGATTATAGAATTGGCCTACTATTCCTTATGCAATGCCCTTCCTTGTCTCTTAGCACTGGCCCGTAAGCCTATTTTATCAGAGATTAATATTACCCTCCTCTCATTCTTGTTTTGGTTGCGGTTTGCTTAATCCATGTTTTATCCACTGGTTCTTAGTTTATTTTTATCTTTGTATCTAAGGTATGTCACTTGTTTACAACATATTGATGGGCCATATTTTCTTATCCATTCTTCCACACTCAGGAATCCATTAATCCAGCTAATGTCCCTATAGACTTACCTATTCTGGATTTCCTATGCAGAAAAACATACCCAGGAAATCAACAACAACAACAAACTAACAACAGTAACAAGTAAAACAGATAAACCTCAATTGAAAAGAGTTGAAAATATTAAAAACTAAAACAGATTTAAAATATTTCAAAGGGTGATCGAATGATAAGGCATTAAAATTTAACCTCAATAAATCTCCAATAATTCACTGTCCATTGCACTGTGCATGATAGCAATGCTATTCTCAGTGTTATTTTGGATAGGTATGAATTTACTGCTGACATTTAATTGTTTTGTGTGTGTGTGTGTGTGTGTGTGTGTGTGTGTGTTGATGATTTCTTTGATCCTTATACTTTCTGTGCTGTTTTTTCATTTAGGAGTTCGTGTTTGTTTTTGTTTTGTTTTTCATCTTCTCCATTACTGTTTATGTTTAACGAGTCTATGGTTTTTTTCTTTATTATTTTTCTGAGAAATTTTATTAATTTCCTTTGTGGTTATATTGAAATTTCCCTTTATTTTCCCAAATTGAAAAGTCTGTTCTATCTAGATACTGCCTTAATATTCTTTCCATATGTGAGTTCCTTAGCTGCATCATTTATTCCTGTTTGGGTTTGAATGTGTCATTGTTTCTAGATTGTTGTCCCTGTAGTTGTTGTTAGGTGCCATTGAGTCGGTTCCAACACATAGCAACTCTACTCACAACAGAAGGAAACACTGCCCAACCCTGCGCCACACTCACATTTGCTTCTATGCCTGAGCCCTTGTGGCAGCCAATCGTCTTGTTGAGGGCCTTCCTCTTTTTCTCTGCCCTTCCACTTGACCAAGCATGATGTCCTTCTCCAAGAACTTGGGTCTCCTGACAAACATTTCCAAAGTTGATGTCTCCAGTCCCATTTTCCATTCTTTAACTTGATTGCATTTTAAAGATTCTTTTATCTGGGTTGGTTTCTAAGTGATTGTGTCATATTTCTTAATCTCAAGTTGTCGTCTGACATAGTATTTTCTCTGTCTGAGGACTCCCGTTTACATTCCTTGTATAGTTGGTCTAGTTTTTACAAACTTGCTTAATTTCAGTTTATTAGGACATCTCCTAATTTCATTATCATATATAAGGGACAATTTATATTCTCTGGATATATAGCTCTGGGTGAGCACTTTTTTTATTTCAACTTTTCTATTTGTCATCCCATTGCCTTCTTGCCTATATGATTTCTGCTTAGAATTGAGACCTTTGTCTTATTGGTTCCCCTTTATAAACTAACATTTCATTTCTCTGAAAGAAATGGATTGTCTCTGATATTGGAAAGTTTGTGATTTTCTTTGTGTGTCAATCAAATCGTGTTCCATTTTGTAGAGCTTCTTAGATGGACAGTGTCTTGTCTTTTATGGTATTAGGGAAGTTTTCTAGAATATCTTGGAAAATGTTCTCCGTGCTTCTCCCTCCCCCCACATGCCCTTTTGTGTCTCTTTCTGTTTTGGGTTTTCTGTCATTCATAAATTGTTCCTCTTGTTGATATTTCATATACCTCTTAGTCTTTCTTCATTTTTCTTCACCTTTTTCCTGGTTGTTCCTCTAGCAAATAGGTAGCAAGGGATTTGTTCTCTATTTTGCCGATTTTGAGTTTCATTGACTCATTTACTTTGTCCTTCTAATCCTTCATCTATTTCTAATTTTATTGTTATTGTAGTTTCCTAGTTGCTGTTTTCGTGTGATTCCTAAGTATATACCATATCATTTGATTCTTGTATTATTTTCTTGAATTCTAGAGTTATTCTTTTCCTGCTTGATTTTGTATGTTTTCTTCTTGATCTCTTGAAGATCCTTTTACATAAATCATTAGATTCCTTATCAGTTAGTTCCAGTACCAGTTCTTTTTGAGAAAGGTTTTCTGGTTCTTTATTGTGATTACTAGCTGGAACTCTCTTGTTTTGCTTCTGTAAGTAATTTAATATGTTCTCTTGTTTCCAAGTTGCCTTGCATCTTTTGACCCTTTCTAGGCAAGGAGGTAGCAGGGAGGAAAAAGAGTGAGCATTGGGCAGGTGGCGAAAGGCAGGGAGGGAGTTCAGACGGCTCTGTTGGGTTCATGTCGCTGCTGCTTGTCAAAAGGCAGTGACATAGTAGCAGAAGGAGCTGAGTCAGCAGATAGAAAGGGCTGGACAAGGAGCCAAGCACTCCTTTGTTGGGCTGGCTGGTAGGAAAGGCAAAGCAAACCATTAATACCCCAACAGGGCGTTCAGCTGTGTTAGTGCATAGGAAAGGCAGGGCTGACAAGCATTACCAAGCTGAAGTGACCTGCTGCCACTTAATTTCTCCATTATGTTTTAAGGGATAGTAACACATTCTAGATTATGTGTGTTCCTCTGAAAATGGGTTCTAATCAATTATTCACCTTGAAGGTAAGTCTTGAGTATAAAGGTTAATATCAGAATCTGTTTTCAGGGAATAAACGAATAATGACTTAAATTAGTTATTTTCATTGAAAACCAATAATAGACTAGATGAGTTGTTGTCTTAGTTATATAGTGCTACTATGCAGAAATACCAGAAATGGATGGCTTTAAAAACAGAAAGTGATTTTCTCACAATGTTGAGGCTAAAATCTATATCTTTAGCACTGGCTTGAAGGGAAAACTATCTTTCTGTGTCTGCTCTAGTCTTTATCTCATCCTCTTCTGCTTCCTGGTTCCATGGAGATGTCCATGCGTCTTGGCATCTGTCTTACCTTAGCCCTCTCCCCTTGCCCCCACCCCCACTCCCACTTGCTTGTTTAATCTCTCTTTATATCTTGATAGAGATTGGCTCTTTAAGATACACCCTACCCAAATCTTGCTGCAGCACCATAACATAAAATTCATTAACAAAGGGGCTTATAACCAGAGGCATAGTGGTTTAAGCCTTTACAACATATTCTTAGAATTAAATTCATACCAGTTGTTATACCTTGGAACATAATGGAGACCCCTCTCTCCTTCTGTTTTAAAGCACAAGGAACTATGAGTAGGAAACGACTCGATGGCCATGAGTTTGGATTGCTTTTTGATTTTATACTTAAGTTTGACATTAATTTTTCTCTTTTTGAGGCCTGGTCAAAAAAACAGTTCACCAACAAACTTTTCCAAACTTATTAGCAATGGTTATAAGGATGAGTGGTTACAGCAGCGAGCAGAGTCGGAGAAGAGGAGTGTGCACTCCTCAAGAACGTCGGTGTCATCCAGGTCTGCAGAGGACCCTGAAGAGCCCCAAGAGACTGGGACGCCTCCAGAGCCAGCGCTCCCCGAGGGCTCTCCGAAAGCTGAAGGTAAAGGCAACTCTCAAGCCATTTCTATCCCTGGGCATTTTAATGAATGATGATTGCAGCAGCTGACATTTCCCCATCTCATCGTGATATTGAATAATCTAAAATGAATAATCCAGAAACCATGCTCACCAGTCAACAGAGGGGTTGAGGTTACAACGAATAAATTAGTTAGAATATTTCCTATAATTAAAAGTTCAAAATATCATGTTACTTTCTCTTTTTAAGTAACATATGAAATCATTCCTGGTCGTTGGACAAGCCTTTATTAAATCTATTGCATTTATGTTTAGTTCCTATAACTCTATCAGTTATTGAGCATGTATCATAGGCAACTTACTTTTACTCGTATAGCCTCCTCCCTTTCATTGGCCAAGGAGGAGGTGTGTTATGTCTCCATAAACATTTGAAATGTTGATGTGATATTTTATTAGGGTTATTTATCCTGACCTTGTTTTACCTCACCCATTACCCCAGTGGTAGCACTTCGTTGCACTAGCAGGGGACTGCAGGTACTTATGGAGTGCCCATTCTGTACCTGCCCTCCTGCCTGGCCCATCCAGTTTTGTTAACTACAGTCTATTCTTTCCGTCATCGAGTTTGGTGGAACCAGAGGAGATGGTGCTAAGAATTGTACTTTTGAATTTTGCAATGTTGGCTGTGTTTTCTGATGGATGTTGTTTCGGTAACACCACATTTTAACTCTTTTTCTAAGTAATTATGGCTTTTTCATTTTAGTCGATTCCATTAAATTGAATGACTGATGTACTTGTTCTTTATTACAGAGTCAACTATTCCAAGTGAGTATTCCTAAAGAAATTGAACTACATCAAAACCTAAAGTGTCCTACCAAAACATCCAAAAATCACAGGTGGATCTAGTTCTCCGTTTTGAAACTGAGGGCTCAGCAGCCTATGGTGTTCTTCTCCAAACTGCATGTATCTTAGCTACGAAGGCGCACACCAGATTTACTGCACAGAAATCAAACAGGGCTCTAGAAACACTTTGGAGACAACAGAAGAAGGACGACTTTCATTATTGCAACAAAATCATCGTATCTTTTTATGTGTATTATAAAAGAAAACATACTTGAGTTTAGTACAGAGACTTTTTTTGATATTTTATTGGCATATACTTCACATATTACACAATTCAGTAGTTGAATCCTATTAAGAATTGTGCAATCATCAAATCAATTTTAGAACGTTTTCTTCTTTCTCCTACTCATTGCTGTTAGTTCTCCTTTCCTTCCAACCTACTCTGCCATGCCCCTAGGTAATTATTAGTCCAGTTATTGTCTTTATAGATTTACCTATCCTGGAATTCAGACACAGAAAATCATACAAAACACAAACAAGAAACAAGCTAAACAAAATCCAATGACAAAGTAAGACATAGAAAATCCTCAACTGAAATGAAGGCAGGCAATATTTAAAATTGAAACAATTTTAAAATGGGTCAAAAGGGAGATCAAATATAAGGTGTTAAATTTTTACCTAACTACATCTGCCATAATAAACTGTATAATACTCTGTCTGATAACAAGGTTATTCACCTCTCCTGACTATGATCAGTGGGGATTCACAGGAATCTTAATCCATGTGGCCACCCTGCAAGTAGATTTTGGGCTTCCACCATCATCCATAGACTTCTACAAACCAGGTGTTCTGAATTCAAGCTCTGGTACTGTTCCCTCCTCTGGATTTGGATTTTATTATTTACAATTCTTGGATCACACAGGCTGGTGTGCTTCTTCCATGTAGGCTTAGTTGACTCCAAACTTAGATGGCTACTCGTTTTAAGACAAGCATGTAAGACCCTGGATGCTATTCTTTTTGACAACCAGGCACCATCTGATTTTTACAACACACTGTGCTATAGCACCCACATGTTTAGTGATCTTTTCAGGAGGGTGAGTAGAGAGTAAGGCCATTAGAGACCTATGTTTAAAATGGAGAAATACAATTAAACGTAAAAAGTAGTAAAACAGAATTTATTTCACCCGCAACATGATGCAGGATCAAAGAAGCTGTCATTTGCATAAGTTTTAAAACTTTACCATTGGATAAATTATTACAGATATGATATAATCTGTATATTTGCATTAGCAACAAAACAATTTTAGCCATTGAAAATGAACGAAAGACCACGTCAACATGTCTTCTGGAATAACAAACATTCGGCTGAGCAGCTTCATTTCCTTGAATGTTTTAGAGCCCCAAGCTGTTTGCTAACAGATCCCACTATCCTCTCTCATCCTGGTCTAATTTTTCTTTCCTGTATTTCTTTACCTGTCTGTTTCCTAGTCCTTCTGCTGTTTACTTGGTTCTTATTTTTATAAGTGGCAATAGCTAATCTAGATCATGTTTTTTTTCCTTCTGGTTGTAAAATCTCCTCTTAGACTTAGAGCCTAGTGCTATAACTTTCTGCATTTAAAAAGCCCAAGGACTTCTTAGGAATGGTTCTTTCCCTCTACGATAAACAGAATATGCTTGTTGTTATGCAATTTTTAGAGCGATTCTAGACGTTTTTAACTTGCTAGGAAGTAAGACTTTGAAAGGGTCCAGAGTTAATGTGGATGCATAGAACTTAATGTAAGCACCAAGATGCTGGTGGGGTTTGCTGACTAACCCAGGCTGCATCAACTCCCTCCTGCCCGCTCACCTTCCCCTGACTCTGCTCATACTAGTTAATTCATTAGTGGCATTTTAAATGCATCAGTGTGCAAGATGAGTCTGTTGTATGAGATATGACTTGTGCCTGGTGGTCTGGCTCTACACAAAATTTTTAAATATGCCCTCAGGAGTAATATTTATAAAAAGGTAGAGAAATATATTTTTCTCCACCGTTGATTAAAACTCATGCATATGTCTTAACTTATTAAAATATTTTTTTAAATATTTGCATATCTGTCTACTTATCTGTTGACTTTGTATTACAGGTGCAACAGCAACCCCGTCTGCATTAACACCTGAGGAGCCCAAATGATTCCTAACAGTCTATGTGTTTAGCACAGTTATTTTTATGCACCTATCTGACATGACTGTGTTTCAGCTATAGTTATAAGGTTATTGTTAGATTTTAGTAATATAAATTCTTATGAAATATTTACTTTGCTCTAGATTTGTCATCCTTGTAGCCTAAATTGTGTATGTGTTGAGTTTTATATATTTCCTTTTTCTGGAGTGTCTCATGTTGCTTTTGTTGCCTTTGGCCTAAGGATGTCCCAGGATCTTAGAACCAATCACTTCTTCCCTGGTATGTCAATGGCTGATATCACTTCCCAGTGCTGGACTACTGTTACATAGTAGTTCTCCTGTAATCAATTGTTTAGAGTCTTTAACTAGAAAAACACTTATAGAATTTGTTTTCACCCTTCATTATTTTATTCTTGACCTTTTTAGAAGTAAATTTTTGGTTATAAAATACTTAATTCTGAAATACTGTGATACAGCTTATAAAAATAAACTTTTAATTTAGTATGCCTTAAAGTTGTAAACACTTAAGAACATTGTAGCCTTTGCTAATTTGAAATTTTTCCTGATACCTTTTGCATAAAGTGAAATCCAAAATATTAATAACTTACTATATTCTGTCTGAAGCAAATGTTTAATTTAAATATTGACCAGACATAAGAATTTTTAATAATTACCTTGTTTTTAAATTGTTGTTATTGTTTATATACAAGTAAGTAGTATTAGAATTTGGTTTATATTTGCTATCTTTAATTCATTAATAAAACAATCATTTTCTGCAGGAAGATTTTCAGCAAACCTAATAAGGTCATAGATATTTTAACTTCCTTCCTAGAATAAACTTATCATGCATTTGCTCACCTAACATTGTAAATTAGTTCTTTAAATGAGGTATTTAATTGTGCACATCTATATGACTGGATTAAACAGATATTACTATTGAAGATTGTACAATGTGAAAGGTTGTATATACTTAACAAAAAAAGTTACTATTGAATAAAAAGAATTATACCATTACAGTAAAGCACATATTTTCTACCTCTTTTCTCTTTATCCCTCTTTTTCTTAACCCTGATTCCTAAAACCTTCCCCCCGATTTATTGAAAAATATCACCAGGAGTAGATTGCTGTGAACTCTTTCTTTTTTTTTTTTTCTTTCTTTCTCTTCTAGGTTATTATTGAAACTGAAATTTGTTCTTTACAGAAGTAGAAAGCACAGTTTTGAATAAAGATTTGGGATGAAACCTTATATACACACATACACACATCCTCTACCAGAGCTCTCACAATATTCAAAAATTCTGTGGAGGTGTCTTATGAACCTGATACAACCTTAGCTCCCGTTAAGTCAAAGAGCAAGTTTATTGATATTTCTAAGTTCCATATTCCATATTAGCTGAAGATGATGTTCTCTACCCCCATTGTTTATTTTGAGGACTGATTCATATTAAATAATGTTCCTAGCACAATCCTTGACAAATACATAATTTATTTAATCCCCTCACTTGGCTTAAAGAAACCAAGGCTCAATTTGAGGGTTCATTTGCCCATTAAGGGAGCCCAGTTATTACAATGCTGCTAACAGTCACTCATAACTTTATAATTCTCTCAAAATATCCCACCTTGTCAAACCTATCAGGAAAAGAGAAAAATAATCCAATCTGCATAGTCCCACCCAGTGATGTGGTGGTAGTCACAAAGACTGGCTAGAAGACCCATATCAAGTAATTAGACCACAGTGGGCATGCTGCCTTAAATACCAAAGCATAATGTGCATGGGTGGCTCTACATTCTTTTAGAGTTAAGGGTAAAATGGAAAACCTAAACTAAAACCCAAATAAGCAGCATTAACAACATGGAAGGATATATGTTTATAGACCAAAGGAAGGCCACACCTCAGGAAATTACCCTTTCAAATAATTGGGTGATCGCTTCAGATCCTGAAGGAACGTGATTATATCACATTGTAGAATAGCAGCAACTCCTTAGGTCTTCCAAACCACTGAGAATTGTAGCCTGGACAGTAGACACATTAGTGCTTCTGGGAGATAAAAAGGGAAAAAAGAAGGGAGGTATATCTTTTAGAACTAACTACGTGGTGAAGGGGAAGAGAAACAAGTGGAGAAAATTAAGGATGCCCCAAATTGAAAGTAAGCAAAAACTTGGGAGGACATATACCCTTTCCCTCATACCTCCTGTGATGGTTAATGTTATTTATCCACTTGGTTGAGCTATGATTTTCAGTGGTTTGGCAGACACTGTGTAAGTACTTTCCATTTTGTGATTTGATGGGACCCATCAGTTGATGTTATCAAGTGCTATTCTGCAGCCATCCAATGACCATGTAGTTCTTTGCCTTTGTTCTATCTTTCTGGTGATTGATTGATATGGTGATTGATAGATTTTTCTAAAGCTGAAAGATCTCTGCATTCCTTAAAATCCTACGTGGTCAGCCTTAGACTGGGTTCTCTAGAGAAACAAACCAGTGAAACTGCGTGGTGGTGGTGATGGTGGGTGCCAATGAGCTGGTTTTGACTCATAGTGTTCTTGTGCAACTGATTTACCCAATGCAATGCATTGGTTGCTATATGACTGCTGGTTCCATGTGCATTGATTATCAACCCAAATAAGACAAAATCCTTGAAAACTTCCATCTTTTCAAGTCTTTCTCACTTTCAGCAAAAATATTGTCTCTCTGCATGTCACAGATTGTTTACAAGCCTTCGTCCAAACCTAACAACTACATTCTTCATATCACCCCGTTTTTCCGATGATTTTCTCAGCATACACTTTGAATGAGTATGATGAGAGGATACAACCCTGATGCACACCTTTCCTGGTTTTAAACCCTGCCGTATTCCTGTGCTCTGTTCTCACAACTGCCTATTGATCCATGTACAATTTCTCTTGAGAACAATGAAGTACTCTTCAATTCCCATCCTTCTTTTTTAAAATCATTTTATTGGGGGTTTGTACAATTATCACAATCCATACATACATTCATTGTGTTAAGCACATTTGTACATTTGTTGCCCTCATATTTTAAAATCATTTTATTAGGGGCTCATACAACTCTTATCACAAGGCATACATACATCAATTGTGTAAAGCGCATTTGTACACTCATTGCCCTCATCATTCTCAAAACATTTTCTATCCACTTAAGCCCCCGGCATTAGGTCCTCATTTTCCCCCTCCCTGCTCCCCACTCCCTCATGAGCCCATGATAGTTTATAAATTATTATTTTGTCATATCTTGCCCTGTCCGACATTCTTCACCCACTTTTCTGTTGTCTGTCCCCCAGGAAGGAGGTCACATATTGTTCCTTGTAATCGGTTCCCTCTTTCCAACCCACTCTCCCTCTACCCTCCCAGTATTGCCACTCACACCACTGGTCCTGAAGGGATCATC